TAATTGCTGGATCTTCTACAAATTAAATTGAGAAGAAAATTATTAAAGTCTTATGCTTTCAAATACATTGTCTAACTCTATTATTTTATTTTATTTTTTTCTCCAGTTCATTCAGCATGTCGTCCTCGGTGATGGATGGAGTTGGTAGAGCCGTGGTGGGAGTGTGGCGTGCACACACAGTCCTGGATGAGTCTGACGAAGCAGAAGGCTCCCCAGAAGCCCCAGACCGTTTCCGCAAGCTACGATCCTCATCTTCACTCAACTCTCTGCGAATGTCTCTACGCAAGCGGCTCCCGCTTCGTTCTGTCCAGGCCAATTCCCTCCCAGAGAATCCCACTTGGGAAACCCTGAAGGAGCAACCAAAAACCGGCACGGTCCGCAAACTTACTCGCAGTGCTCGGAACTCAATCAGTGAAGTGTACCAGGTAGATGGGTTGGTTATGGTTTTACTTTGGAAGAATCTTGAGATAAGCCTTGATGATGATTTTTGTGTGTTAAGGTCAATCAAGTTGCTTTGTTTTCATTTTAGATGTAATGTGAATCAACAGCTGTTAAGAGTCATTTGCCTCCTCCTCATTATCATCTTTCCTTTGTGTCCTGTTTCTCTCTGTCCCAGAGGCTGCAGAGGACAAAGGAGTTTTCAAGGGAGGAGTGTTTGGTGGCGACCCCTGGTCAGACCTGCAATGAAGACGAAGCTGGTGCATCAACTTCTCGCACTCCAAGGCGTACCCCTCGCAGGGGTGCCACCCCCAAACGCACCCCCAGAAGAACAGCCACCCCTGGTCGCACTCCAGGCTCTAAAGGGAGAAAGACCCCTGAGGCTGGTGTTCGTGGGGTGAAAACGGGAGGAGGCCGAAGGCAGCTGGTCCGAATGGCTGCGTTACGGAGTCCCTTTGCCTCCCCTAACACACAGAATCAGAGGCTGTGAGTCCTTTAATTGTTTACTTGCTTCAAAGTCACATTTATACATATTGTTGTAGCTTTAAGTTTCAGCAGATTTCCCTTCTCTGAGTGTTTGTTTTCTCTGGTGTAACAGAAAATTTGACCAGGATTTGGAGTCTGTGTCCAGTGGACTCAGGAGGCTCAAACGTCTGTCTAGGGCCTTTGATGACATGATTGGCAGAGACAACAGGTAATGATGCATCCTCATGATTTATGGAAATGTAAATTGGCTGTCATTTAAATTGGCTGTGTTCGTTTATTGTACTTATCAGAAATGTTGTTTGTATTGTGTGTGTTTTTTTGTTGTTGTAGGAAATGCATGCTAAGTACTAGCAGATTAAACCGTGTTCAATTGTTCCTGCATGTGTAACTCCGACTGTTGTGTGTGTTTGAGGAAGCCACTGGTTCATTTCCTATCGTGTCTATATATTCTGCACAGAGGACACCACAGAATCAAACTGCCTCCTCGCCCTCCCACCTAAAGAATCCCACTCTGCTGTGCAGCTTGTGGGTCTTCAGGCTCCCCTCCCCCCGACACACATTCTTCCCGCCTCGGTTTCAAACTGGGTCTGTGTTTCTGGTATTCGGATGAGGAGGGTGTGAGTGGGGGGCCACGACAAGAGGAGAGGGAAGGGGTGTGGGAATTGGAGCCAGATGAAATGACAAAAATGCACTAGGAGAGCTCGGAGTGTATTTACATCACTTCCTGTGTTGACGTTTAAAATGTTCACGAATCGATAAAGAATGTGATACTTAGTTAACACGTGTACAGTGGCCTTGTCTGTTATCAGTGGGAAATACTTGCAGCCAAATGTTTCCCTCACTGTATCCACACCTCATCTCATGGGAATTTATACACAAGTTTGTTTTCCTCCTACAACAGGAAGTTCAACTATTCCCTTATTGTGGAGTAGGGAAGAAGGTAAATACAAACATCAACACAAATTTGCTATATGGAAATATATGTTCAGCATCGAACTAATTTTGGGAAACGAAAGTGCATGATCTGATGTGTTGACCTGATGCATGAACTACTGTGCGTATGAAACCGTTAAAACCTCTGACCCGGTTTTTTTATGAATGATGAATAACTGGCTTTGTCCAAGCGAAGGATGCTCTTCGTCTCTGTCAGGCTCACATTTCCTTCTTCCTTCCTTCTACCTTTTGCTCTACATAACAACTCGTGTTGCCTCGCCAGCTCTTAAATACTTAACTGGGTGTCTGCAAGTTTCATTAAAGCCTTGAAAATCAGACCATACATGGACTTTGACACTGATAAATGTCACATTGTTTTAGAAGTTCTGAAATCTTGTATGTGGATGCACCATTAAGAAGTATTGTGTCTGAATAAGCTGAACATCCATTTTTATTTTGTATTTTAAAAGATGACAATATATGGCTGGACAATGAAATGATATCAATTTTATCTCAATATAATTTTCAGCCATAGTAATATAATGAAAATATATTGATATAATGCTTACGCATTGTGCAAACACAATGTGTTTTGCTGTTCATCGCATGTTTTTCATTGTCTGCTAATAATTGAGAGTTTAAAACCACAATGTACACTGTTTTAACTTGTAGCAACTTTCCATACACAAAAAGCAGTTCTCGCTTAAAGTCCATGGCAGTTATATTACCAACCATAAACCGAAAGAAAAGAGTAGACACGTTTAACAGCAGTGAAATAATTAGATACATTTCATGAGAGGAAAGAAGTGTATTGGTGCATGATTTCATTTCGCAACAGTCCTAAAAGCTGTGGACACCCAGTTTCTATCACCCAGTGTGTCGGGTCAATCCAGTCATTTCTGATCTCTCTCTCTCTCTCTCTCTGCAGAACCGGTGCACAGGGACGTGGTGGAGGAGCGCTGATGAGAAAGTTGGACCCCAGTGGTAAACTCAGTTGCTCAAACCTCAACCGTCGAGCCAGCAACCTCTCAAACACACTGGGAGGTTGGGCCCACACAGCTGTGAACACCATTCGCAAACCCAACTGAACTCCATGCATGCATGTGTGTGTGTGTACGTAAAACACAGGACCTTTTGTAGCCATGTTCCACATTTTTGTCATGATACTGGGAGACTGTTACCTGGCCTCTTTTTTTTTATTTATGCTATGTATAGTTAGCAGCACCTATAGTATCTACAGTATATCTATAGTATGTAATTCTTGTGTTTACACGTCTCAGGTTAGCTAGCTGTGGGTGAAATATCCTCATTGTAGCTACCAAAGAGATTTCTATATTGTGTATGTACGTGTCATAGCTGCTACAACCAAATGTCTTAGTTACATTTTCACTAAACTAACACTGTCGTTTGTGTTCACACTCTGCATCGAAACTGTTTTCTAGTTTCAGAAATCGACTTTTAAAGAAACGCTGCATGAGACCAAAGTTGTATCTGCAGAACTAACACTAAATTCACTGACTGAGGGAAGATACACTTCCCTGTACTTTAAACGTATGCAATGATGTTACTAACATTTGTTATACCTTTTTTTTTTTTTTATCTCATTTGATTATACCAAATTGTAAAGTGTATTTTCTATGAAAGGGGACATTGTATATAGCATAGACAGGTTTGAATGGTATTTTTCTTTTCCTCTTTTTATTCTTTCCTTGAGGTAGAGCTCAACACTTTTGATGGCCTGTGGGTGATTCATGCACCAACATTATTCACATAAATCATCTTATAATGTGATAAGGACGATGTAATGGCTCATTATCTGATGAAGATGTTGTGAAGCCATATCCAGCAGGTTAATTATGTAAAGACTGTCAAGCAAACAGCCTCAAATGAAACAAAACGTCTCTTCTGCCAAAGAGACATAGTGTTTAAATGTGAAAAATAAAATAAAATCTGTAATCTTCATCAACCCAAATGTCAATGCCAGCATTGCTGATGTGACTTTGTGTCTCAAAATGATGCCACAGACGTTTTAATCTAGTATTTAAACACATGAAAGATACGATGCATTGAAATAAATGCACCTAATATACTGCATTTTAACTGCTAACCTAAGAATTGTTGGACACATCTGTCAAGGTCCAGGGATATAAAGTTGTTGTGGGGGTTCCTAATGATTTGTTGATTGACAGAAAATTAATTAGCAATCATTTTGTTAGTCAATTAAAAGTTCCTTTGAAAAGAAAACCCATAATCTTTTTCTCATCTTTGAATATTTGCTATTTTCAAATTTGGGCTTTGGGGGAATTTTCCCTTGATGTTCTGACACTAAATACAAAACAATAATTTCCTACAGTAATTATTGTCAGATGTGTTGTTGATTAAAATGTGGTGCTGGTTGCTGCCTTCGAGTTAAGTACGCCGCTCCACTTTGATGGAATAATTTAATTTTCTCCGCGCTTATGTTTACATTTATAATAAATCATCAATCAATCAAGTTTTAACAAATTTGCAATCAATCCAATTATTTTGACTCAAATGACTAGTGATCCTTGGGCTTATGGGTCTGTGCAGGCAGTATGGTCTCACCAGTTGTTACCCAGCCTTTGCCTCAACTATCATCCAGTGGTATAGTATATTTATACATAATCAAACTTTCTCCAAATAAGCATTCCACATGATATATTACTTTTCTTTTGATGCCTTAGTGTGCTGCATTTTGTAAATAATGGTAATGTTATAAATAATCTGGATACCTCCTCCTATGGAGCCAAATCAGGGTCAGTTATTATTTTAAAAAATAATTGAAAAACTACATTTTGAAAGTGAAAGTTCAAATTTTCATGTCGATGTTTGATATCATTTTGATTTCTTTATTTTCACTCTTCAATTTCATAAATAAGTGAGGTCTTTTTTTCAGTTGCTGATTTTACATTATCAGATTCAAGTTTTTATAAAGTTTCAAATCACATTTGTTTAATGATTTTTCTGCTGTAAATCCCAGTTTTTCTTAACTTTTAATATTTTGGTTTCAAGTCACAGTTTTTCTTTCTTTCTTTTTTATTTAAAACTTTTGTTCATCTATAGAAAAAACATACAATCAACAGCGCCCCCGAGCGGCGTGTCTTCGTCACCGCCGGTGAAACGCGAGTGGCTCGGTTTGTCCCTCGCTGTTAGCCGTCGCTGCCCCACGCCTCGCTGAAGAAGCTCCTCCTCGGTCTCTCCGGCTTTGTACCCAGAGCTGAACCCACGCCGCCGCTGACTTCTCCAGGATTCAGGGGCTGCTAAACATCGGAAAATGGCTCTCCACGTCCCCAAAGCTCCGGGCTTTGCCCAAATGTTGAAGGATGGCGCCAAGGTGAGGTTTAACCCGCGCGTCCGAGCTCTTTGCTAGCTCTGGGTGAAGCATTGTGGAGTTAGCATGCTAGCTAGCGCTAGCACGTTTACTCGCAGTCATGTGGGAGAGTTCTAGAAAGAAGCAGGCCGCTCGGAGGGGCTGCACCCGCGGCTGTTAGCATGTTAGCATGGGCCAAACACCGGTTTCTACGTCTTTAAATGTCCACTACAGCAACAAGTCCAACTCTACATATAAGTCAGTGGTAACAGCCACACCTAGTTCGCACTTAGCTTAATGTCAGAGGCTCTGATTGTCACCTCAGCTCATAGATGCTGATGCTGGTTCCTGTTTTGGCTTCACCACACCTGATCGTACGCACACATGCCCTTTTAAACCCATTCAATGTTCTGAGCTGATTTGTGATGCTTCACTTGTGGGTTAGAATATCAACAGCTACTTATGAAAATGAATTGTAATTGTGATGTCTGCAGCACTACTCGGGGCTTGAAGAGGCTGTCTACCGTAACATCAGAGCCTGTAAGGAGCTGTCTCAGACCACACGCACCGCCTATGGGCCGAACGGTAAGCACCATCTCTCCCACTAGTATTCTGCTTATGATTAAATCCGTGTGTGTTTTGAGTTCAAACTTTTTCCAGAGTAATCAGTGACAACAAAACTTTCATATTGTTGCCTTTCAGGTATGAACAAAATGGTCATCAACCACTTGGAGAAGCTGTTTGTCACCAACGACGCGGCCACGATTCTGAGAGAGCTCGAGGTGAGGGCGACTGACAGTAATGAAAACATACTGGAAACTGGACTGACATGTACATGATGGAATTTAACTTCTTTCTTGAACGGTTTTTATAGGTGCAGCATCCAGCAGCCAAAATGATCGTGATGGCGTCCCACATGCAAGAGCAGGAGGTCGGGGACGGCACAAACTTTGTCCTGGTGTTTGCCGGAGCTCTGCTGGAGCTGGCTGAAGAGCTGCTCAGGATGGGCCTGTCTGTGTCAGAGGTAAACCGACATGGTCACGGCTCGTCACCGTGCCCTTCATGCTGTGTAGATTATTCAGAAATGTTTTTGAGAGCTGGTCGCAGTCTGCCTCAGTGTAAATGTGTCTTTGCCACAGGTGATTGAAGGCTACGAGATGGCGTGCAAGAAGGCGCTGGAGATCCTACCAGACTGCGTATGTTCTTCAGCCTCAAACCTCCATGATGTGAAGGAGGCCACGTCCCTGATCCGTACAGCAGTCATGAGTAAACAGTATGGCAATGAAGACTTCCTCGCCGGCCTCATTGCAGATGCCTGTGGTGAGTCAGCAGTCTAGGCTACCTAAACCAAACTGGGGCTACGTCCATACTTCTGTTTTTATTTGAAAACAGCATTTGCGATCTAAAATAATCCCTTTCCATACAAGCGTTTGGCTCTGTATCAGTTTTAATCCACATCTATACTAACGAGCCTGAAAAAGCATATCACATGACTACTCAAGTACACTGGGTGTGCGCATGTTAGCAGGAAGCATTGCTAAGGTTCTCAGATTTAGCAGCTCTATAATTCTGCAGTAGTGTGGACACCAGGTGTATCCGTAGCAGAGATGGTGCATTTTCAAATCAAAGCGTTTTAGTATGGATGTAGCCTGAGGCTCTCAGCGGTCAAAAAAATAATTCACTTGATTACAATATTAACTTGTCATTTCTTTGAATGTCTTTTCTTTACCATTATGTGCTACAGTATCCATCTTCCCAGAGTCCGGCAATTTCAATGTTGATTGCGTCAGAGTCTGCAAGATTTTGGTAAGCAGCCTTATCAATCAATAATTTTTTTTCTTAGTGTGTTGCTTTTGTCTAAGTTGATGTCTTTGGTGTTTTCAGGGTTGTGGGGTGATGACATCCTCCATGCTTCATGGCATGGTTTTTAAGAAGGAGGCAGAAGGAGACGTCACATCTGTTAAAGATGCAAAGATTGCTGTCTACTCCTGCCCCTTTGACTCCATGGTGACCGAGACCAAGGTAATGAATACAGTAATGAAAAGATTCTTAAGAGATAGCTGACCTTCGTTTTGGACAGGGTTGCATGATTTGAATCTATTATGGTGTTATCTAGATAGGCAAGTATTAGTAAAGCATCATGCAACTAAGAAGAAGTTTGTGAGCCACCTTTCTGGGTTTATTTTTATAAAAGACAAAGTATCATTGCAGTAGTGCTGACATGTTCTTCTGTGTCTCATAGGGCACAGTGCTGATCAAAAATGCTCAGGAGCTCATGGACTTCAGTAAGGGAGAGGAGGATATGATGGAGACTCAGGTGAAGGCCATCAAGGAAGCTGGTGCCAACATAGTGGTCACTGGAGGGAAGGTGGCCGACATGGCGCTGCACTATGCCAACAAGTACAAGCTCATGGTGGTGAGGTAAGACAGAGAAGACTTGTGATTATCCCAGTGAGTGTTTATTACCTCTGCCATGGAGGTTGTGTTTTCACCCCTGTGTGTTTGGTGGTTGATTTTTGTAATCTTGCTTACAAACATACAGAGTTTAGCAAAACATGGCTGAGTGATGTGGGTGAGGAGAGAATCCATTACTTTTTGGTGCAGATTCTGGATCAGGGGGCGAATATATTTTGATTTGTTTTACATAGCAACAATTATATTTTCCCAGGGAATGATTTATAGACCTTGAAGGAAAAGTCCAACATATTCTCTGGACTGATATCTATCTTTGAACTTTGATGCAGCTTCATTTAATTTAAAGGGACTATAAGGCCTTGGTGGAAGGCCCCACTGAGTCCTTGTCTTGTTAATAACTCTTTATTTAATATAATCTAAATGGGCAGGAAAAGGATCCCTGTAGTATTGTCAGTGATTTTATAAAGTGAACTTAACAGATAGAATTGTATCTGAACTGAATTTTAACAGTTGTATTTAATGTAGTGGTTTTCTAAGGTCCTTCTTTTCTCAGTATTGTTCTGTTTCTCAAAATGTACTTCCTGACCTTAAATCTTCCTTTCCCCCTCAGGCTTAATACCAAATGGGACCTCAGGAGGTTATGCAAGACTGTGGGAGCTGTAGCACTGCCCAGGATGGTGAGTGCAGACATGTTTCAATCAGGTCAGATAAAGAAGACAGTTATTTTATATTGTAACATCTAAAAAAAAATTGTTCCTAGATGGCTCCAACCCCCGAGGAGATGGGTCACTGTGACGATGTGTACCTTACAGAGGTGGGCGACACGCAGGTGGTGATCTTCAAACATGGTAAATCACTGTTTGCTCCAGTTTTGTGAATTTTCGATTTAATTCCGTTTTTCTTTTCTATTTGCGGATTTACACATTGTTTGATTTTTACTGTTTCAAACAGAGAAAGAAGACTGTGCCATCTCAACGGTGGTAATCAGAGGCTCCACTGACAATCTGCTGGACGACATCGAGAGGGCCGTGGATGATGGAGTGAATACCTTCAAGGTTCTGGTCAGGGTGAGTCAGCACAATCAACCACTTTTTTTACTTCTGGCAAGGAGGTCATGTGTTCACCCCTGTCTTTTTTGCGTGTTGGTTGGTTGGTTTGTAAGCAAGATAACACAAAAATAACAGAACGAATTACCACTAAGTCCATTAGTTTTGGGAACCCCCCCCCCCGAGGATATTGGGGAAATAAATCTGTCGTGTTTTAGAGAATGACATCTGAATTTAATTGAATTTAGGGGAATGTTGGGCCTTGGTGGAGGTATGAGTTCTACTGAGGCCCATTCTAGTTTATAACTTGAATAAAACTATAAGAAGAAATTTAAGTTAAAGCATCTGTTAAAAGAAACTTTTTTTGTCACTTTCATTCCTTCTATTTCTCTCAAAGAATGTTGAACTTACTTTGATGTTGAAAATGACTGATACTTTAATCAATATTATTCATATGTTGGAAGGGCAAAGTTGATTATTCTTAAACATAACATTAGCATAATATTATGAGTTAAAGCTGAAACCCTTTTACTATATATCCTGCACACCAGCTGAAGTTTCTGTGTGATTCACTCTCCAGGACAAGCGACTGGTACCAGGAGCAGGAGCCACTGAGATCGAACTGGCCAAACAGCTCACTTCATACGGAGAGGTATGCAGATTTTACTACATTAAATGATTCTGCTTTCAGACTGTCTCCTTGGTTTTGCTGCATCACTGGCTTGTAAATAGCAGTGACATGACTTCTTCCCCCCTCTCTGTAGTCCTGCCCTGGTCTGGAGCAGTACGCCATTAAAAAGTTTGCTGAAGCCTTCGAGACGCTGCCCCGTGCGCTGGCTGAGAACTCTGGTGTGAAGGGGAGCGAGCTCATCTCGAAGATGTACTCTGCACATCACGAGGGAAACAAAAACATAGGCTTTGACATTGAGGTCAGTATGTGTACAAAAATACCAGTATGACATTTAATAATATATTCAACAGGCTTATTGTTCAGAACATATATCATTGAATTAATAATTTTTATCTGGCAATGTTTAGCATCCACACTCAAGTTAGACTCAAAACTGCAGAGCTATGTTAATGTCTTGGTCTGATGACTGATGGCATGTACATGTGTGATGTCTTCAGGGAGAAGGCCCCGCAGTAAAGGACATGCTGGAAGCTGGCATCCTGGAGCCTTACCTGGTCAAACACTGGGGCATCAAACTGGCCACCAACGCTGCCATAACAGTACTGAGAGTTGACCAGGTGCGTACACAAGCAAACAAATACTCAGTACACACACACACACAGCCTCTCTGTGGAGGCAACCATGTTTTTTACTGTCGTCCAAACTGGACAAACTAAAACCTTTTGAGTTTTTATGACGACTGAAGGCTTCCGCAGGTTCTCTTTCATGTTGGGAGGGGGATGGTGAGGTGAAGGGTATTCAGCTGCTACATGCAAATTCACCTCTTGCTAACACTATATTCTACACACTGAACCTTTAATTATGTTATCAGCTTACCAGCTTAAAAGTCCTCTGGAACCTTCCGAACCCCTCGATGATGTTTGTATCTACATTTCAATTTCACAAGGGTTTTTGGGTGTTTTCTGTTTTTTTTAATCTAACATGATTCCTGATTGTGCCGAAGCTTTAAAAAAAAAAAAAAGTTAGTTTATAATGTCCTAATGTTCTTATATTCAGCAGGTTAAGTGTTCTTGAATGAATTTATAGCTCCGGGTAGTTAATTGTTTGTATGTGTGTACATATGTACGAACCAGATCATCATGGCTAAGGCTGCAGGGGGACCCAAGGCTCCCAAGCAGAGAGGCCATTGGGACAAGGACGATTGGGACGAGGCACCAGATAATTTTCAAACTCACCATTAGAGGGCGCACACAAACTCCCTCTGTCAGTAGGTCCTGGAATGTGTGTGCGATTTTTGACTTGGAAAAACTCACACGGATGCACTCAATCTCTCACAGGCCACTGAAGCTGTGAAATGTTTGTCACTGCAAAGACTGGTGGTGATGCAGAATTAGTTTGAAAATGGTTGGATTCTGCCACTTCAGTTCACGGGTGTTTTTTTAATAATACAAAGTGTGTCACTGACAGCTAACTAAACTTCCAGAGTGGATACAGGATGGTGTGTTGGCATGCTGCATGTACTCATAAACACTTTGCCTTACAGTGAACGTCCTCAGGCTGCATGTGAACATTTAATATGAAGGGAGCATGTAAATAAGATGAAATGCGGCACTCTGGAGGCTGAGGTGGCCTTTCATTCCAAATGGCATCCTCCTAATCAGATGTACTCCCATCACAATGAAGGAATTCTACTTCATTAGGAATCTGTACTCTCTAGATCACAGCCCATGTCTTCAGATACCAGTAGAATCGGAGATTATTAAAATTGGATGAGAACATTTCTCATTTAAGAACTGTTGTCCCTCTACCAGAGCTTCCACTGCTTTCTTACTGAGGAGCTTTAAAGCTGTTTTGATTACAATTTTTTTTCAGCGACAGTAAAAATGAAGGCTGTTCTCGGATTCATAACTTTGCCATAGATTTTTCTAAAATGTGCCCGAAGTGCTGCAGTTAGCTCATCACTGAAAATAGCCATTCGATCATTTTTACCCCCTGTAAATACATTCATTGCCTGTGGTGCAAAATGTTTCCTCGTGTAGCAAATTCCCGTATGTGCTCATGAATATTTCATCACCATAAATGGCCTTTAAGGGAAGCTCCAGGGGGTTTAAAATGGCTATTTTACTTTTAAAGTAAACATATTTTTAAGTGTTATATTTTTTTGAGTTTGTGCAAACATTTTCTACTCAAATGAAAGAAAGCGATCATCCGTGATATTAGCTAAACGGAATCATTTATGTCGACAAATAACACTTAGCGACTTGATGCTAACCTTTTAACAAGTTTGTTTTAAAAAGTCCGTCTATAACCTCAGAGCCCACAGCCTGCCGCTTGTATCTCAGTGCTTAGCCAGGAGGGATTGAATGACTGCTTTTTGTCTCATTTAAGATCATCATGGCCAAACCAGCAGGGGGACCCAAACCTCCCCAGGGCAGGAAGGACTTTGATGACGACGACTAAAAGGAGACGACATCCAGCCGATGCACCTTTCAACCCTGAACGCTCCCACATGGATTCACAAACCTCTTTTCTACTTGTTTATTTAAAGTTCAACAGTTCGGTTTATTTTGTTTAGATGACCATGCATTGGTTAAAAAATGATTATGTGAAAGTAAAATGTATGGATGGCACTGTTTTGCTTCTTTTGTTCTGAGTCCCAAATAAAAGGCACTTGGGCTGTCATGTCTTGGTTTGATTGTGGGTTTGTGCCTCGGCCTTATTCTGTGATTGCAGCACTTTCATTCACATTCACGCCCTGATTGCTATTCTAGTATTGTATTTGAATTTTTAATCTTATCCCGCATTGAGTTTTTAGCAGTTCAGTTAGAAAAAAAGTTATGTTAGGCTGAGATTGAAGCCTTCATAAACCAAGACTTCAAGACTTTATCATCTGCACAACAATTACATACAGCAGTCACTGTCAATTAAATTATTGGGTCACAGGTCCCCTCTAAATTAAGAAAGACAACCACACAAGCAAAAAAATAGAATATTCAAACAAATATATATAACAATAATGCTAAAGTAACCTCAGCTACAGGGGGATTCCGTGCTATTTGATTCCACAATAAATTGCGTCTCCTGTAGGAGCTCATCAATCAGCTGCAGGATGCACTAACATGCATGAGATTAGTTCACTCATGATGCTGCCCTGTGGGGTTTCCCTTGACATGTGGCAGCAGAAATTATGCATGCACTGATTTATTTTTAGACCAAAGGAAGTGGAGAATTGAATCATTGGGTCGATTGGAGATTAAACATTATGCACCACAGTAGGCATGATTGTTTTATTGATGCATTATTTGTTTCCTTTCTGCAAACATTCACGACCAAGCGAATAATGACAGAAAATACACGACGATAGTGAAGTTGCACCCTGCAGCTGTGTTTGCAAGAGGAGCAGCAGGGGGCGCTGCCCTCCTGCAGTTTCATTGGATGGCAGAGATGTGGGCGGATTTGCGCTGACGTTGAACATATTCGGGATTAACTTGTTTGGTTTTTTTCATGTCGCCATATCTATCAGGTTTTTTGCAGGATATCCCGATCACCTGCGGTCTGCCGACACCAGGGCGCCAGTTCACGCTTTAAAGCCTCAAACTCGTGCGTGTGATGTACGTGTGACTGCGTGTGTGGAGCCGTGAGGACGAGCACGACAATGTGAGGACGGATGAGGAGCGGATCCAGAGCTGATGTCCTGACGGGCTGATGGGGGCCGACGGCAGCAAACACAGGAAGGTGAGTGATTCCTGTTGCCAAGGTGTGACGCACTAGAGGGGGTTCCTTGTTTCCATGGCGATGAGCCCAAAATCACCAGGTAGTAACCATGGTGAGGAATATGGACGTTTCCTTCACCAGTGTGTTCAACTTCAAATAGTTTTTTTTAGATAAATTCATATGTATTAATACACTGGGTGTCATCCCTAAAAAAACGTTCTATTAGTTTCCCAAAGTAGGCTACTTTTATCTTTTTCATACTTTTTTTGTGCTTTTACTTTGAAGATAAGATCACGCTTCCGGTATTGACATGTAAATCAATAGGGAATTGAACCCCTTACAATAAACCAAATTAAATCCTCACACTGGCTCTCTCTGGGAAGTTGTCAGGCGATGTCCCATTGAATAGTCTTTTTTTTACATCTGAGTGGGTATGGATTTGTCCATGTGTCCCATTTCTTTGGCTCAGATGATAATAGCATCCTGCATGGTTGATTGCTCTGCACATCTTGCACCACAGAGCATCAGATCTGTTGTGGAGCGCAGGGCCCAGGGGGAGAGGGCTTGTGTGACTGTGGCTGCAGAATGGATGATGTTGTTTTTCTCTTGTTAAATCACAAATGAGAGCAGGAACAGTCAAATAGATACATTTGTGCCTATATATTCATGTATATGAGTATTTTGATTCTGACAAATTCATTTAGTATAATAATAATGATAATAATAGTAACTTTATTTATATTGCACCTTTCAAAACAGTCGGTACAAAGGGCCTCACAAATAAAAACAGGCAAAATGGCAACAGGGAAAATGATACCAAATCTAAAATCAAAGACGACAAATAAAAGAAACCGACATCATTTAAAAGTAATGGCAAAACAAAATGATCAAAGAAACATAATTAATCAAAATAAATAAGCTGCTTTAACTGAATACATTTTCTTAAAATACTTAAAAATACTTTATATAAAACAAGACCAGTGCTGGGTAAAATCTGAACCTATTATATTTGCAAAAAACGAGCTGCTTTCAGCACGCCAGCTTTGATAAGTGCTGATACTGGTCCTTGCATACAGTATATACAGCCCCAGCTCTGTTAAATAAATGGTCACTGGATTAACACGGTCTAGGATTTGTCTCCTTAGAAATCACTGTAATAATCGTAATCATTCAGGGAGTAACTCCACAGTGCTACAAGCTATGTTTTCTGGTTACACCTGCAGCACCATTTACAAACCTGTGCCTCAACTTCTCTGTGCCTCCTTTCTCCCCTGTCTCCCCAACAGAGGCCCACTGAAGGGCAGGAGGAAGAGCGCTTCCCATCTGGATGGCGTGGTTTCCTCTCCAGCATGGGTCTGTCAATCCCAGCAGCCCTATGTCGCCTGGCCCCACCTGGCCTGCGCCTGGGCCAGCACCGAATGCTCCATGGCAAGACCCCTGACATCCCAGAGCACGTCCTGAGGTTGGCGGGAGTCGGCCCAGAAAAGCTGAGAGCAGAGTGGAGCCTGCCGGGGTTCATTAGTATGTTCCTGCCTGAATTCCCCCACAGAACCGTGCCTGGGCACGAACACTTTCAGGTAAACCTCAGTTCCAACATCAGATGCCAATAATGTGGAAGACTTGATGTGATTGGATAATACATCCTGAGTTTTTTCTCACTTCACCAGGTGTTGGGTTATATCGCCAAAGGTTCATTTGGACCCATTCTGAAAGTAAAGGACAAGGCCAAACGGAAAACATACGCTGTCAAAGTGAGTCTTCTGTCTCACATTTTGAATGTGTTTCAGTGAGAGATTAAAGCCATTAAAGACCAAGTCAGTTTAATATTCAATATTTATTACAGTAATATGTGTCCATTCATAGACCTTAGATAGAACATTTTTAAATTAACCTGAAATTCAATGTTGAAAATTGCACTCAAGTCAGGACTTAATTTAACTGAATCAGAGTCCTGTGTATTCTTATTTAACAGGTTATACCTAAATCAGAGATTCTAAGACTTGGGGTCTTAGAGCAGTCAAAAGAAGAAGTCATAGTCCAGGTAAGTACGCAGGACAGACCTTGAAAATCATAAAGAATAAAGTTTTGACATTAACGTTGGCCTGTAAAAAGAAGCTTTTGGAAGTATTACATACTTACAGCAATTACATTTTTAGATCTGAAATACATGCAACACTCATCTATTTAGCCAGAGACAAGAAAGCAACACTAAATATGAAAGCTGCGTATAGTAATGGAGGAGAGAAATGCTTAAAGATTGCCCTTCAACTGCTCCTCTATTTGTAATCAACATTGAATAATTCAACTCAAACATTAAGGTTTAAAAATAGTTGATAGTCAACAAATACTTCTTTATGCAGATGATGTATTATTGTATATCTCAGATGAATTAACTGTCTAAACCGTGATGGAAAATGAGTAGAAATTAGATGTGACATGGCTGAAGCTTATGCAGTGAATACAGTTACACCTCGTCTGATATGTTCGTCTAAGGAATTGATTTTTGTTTGCCCTCTCTTCAAAAGTGATGCATCTATAAAGTTGAATTCTAGTTTTATGTCAGATTTTAGGGTTAGGTCATCTGAGAAAACTAGTTAGATGAAGAAGAAAAAAAGGACTTCTCTTTGATTGAGGGCGAGAAGTGAGATTTTCCAGGTTGACCTTTCACCTTTGCCCACAGCGTCAGGTTCGCCACCCATTTGTCCATGACCTCGAGGACTGCTGGCAGACACAGCGCCACCTCTACATTAGTGAGTCAGCCAGAGAACCAGTGACCCAGATCCCTTTATCCAAAACCACTCACTCCAATTTTTACCCCTCAACACTGGTATCTTATCCAGGATCTACCCACAATCCCACTGCAACACCTAGAATAAATATATGATGAATAAATACAGAGAGCTTTCTGTCAAGTATTTGAATTCTGGGTGTTTTGCTTGAACAGAGATGGAACCTTTACCCCCACAACCCCAATCTCCCACTGCTCGTGTTCCTCGTAGCTGATCTTCTCCATTTTCTTCTCCCTCAGAGCATTTACCCTTTTTCCAAATGAGTCACTGACTCAGAAAGTGTGACCCAGTTTGTTTGCTTCCCCACCCCCTGTGAAGAGAGCCTGTTATCCCGCAGACCCGATGTTGAAAACTGCTGCAGCTCAACAAGAATCCATGTGTCACATTCCAAAGAGAGGACGCCCCTGCTCAGTATAATGATGACTCATCACTGAATCACATCTTTCAAATGGAAGAGGAGCAGAAACGTTGCCGAGCATTTACCTTTTTTTCATGTCGCAGATCCATTATTCCACATACGCACCTATTCACCTCAGCACCCCCAACACACTGAAAAACAGGTGGCAGAAAACCACCCTTATTTGATTTGTAGAGGAAGATAGTTGTACACTGTCCTCACTTCCAGAGCTCACTCCTTTTTCCTCATTTCTCTTACCAGTGTTTGTTCCACATCCCGCTGACCTTCACTCCCCCTCCACACCTCACATCACATGACACAGGCATGTTTTAATGCTGTTTCTCCTCCTGCAGTGTGTGACTACTGTAGCACAGGAGACCTGTACACCTACTGGCAGATGATTGGTCAGTTCACAGAGGAGACAGTACGTGTGTTTGCAGCAGAGTTGGGATGTGCGCTCGGTGAGTACGCTCAAAGGACAATTACAGAAAGGGTTCAAGCTACTTACATACTGTTTTATACACCTCACCTTTCCCCTTAAATAAGAACTAGATCATGTACACGTGAAAGTTTTAATTACTTGTAAGTAATTATAAAAAGAGGTCTAATTAAAATGAGATGAGCTCCCAAAGGATCTCACACTACATCAAGGCAGGGCCAGGTTTTATTAAAATGCCTGTAGCACGACACAAGGATGGTTTGTTTGAATGTTTACTTATTTATCTTTATTTGTGGTTCCTGTCTTTTACAGGCTTTCTGCACGACTTTGGGATCATTCACAGAGATGTGAAGGTAAGACAGGGACCAAAATCAGGAATGTTTACTCTGATTAAAAGTACAAAATGAAAATAAAATGTATTTTTTATGTGTGTGTAGGATAATCACTGGCAACTTAATAATGGGAATAGGAAATCTAAGTCTCAGGAGAATCAGCTATGTGACATTTATGACATTTTAAATAAAAATACAGATGGTGTCTCATTCATTCTGCTTGGTATTTTTTGTAGATGGAGAATATTCTGCTGACAGACAACGGTGAGTAAAAGCCTGTTCCCAGCAGAGAGCAGCACAGCTCTGTTATGCAAGAGCAGTGCAGACCCTCCCAGAGAACATCCTGACTGTGCAGCTTAATACATGTTAATGCAAACAGTAAATCTGTTGTCACTGAGAGGGAACCGCATGTTTATCAAACCACAAACACTGAGCAAATCAGATTATGATGGGAACATTTAATGTCACTGCATCAGTTGTTTTTGGAACCTGAATCCAGGGTCTCATGCCACGTGCTCATATTGATGTAGACAAAATGGTCTGTTCTAGGACACCTCCGCTTAGCTGACTTTGGTTTGTCCCGTCGCCTGGAGAGAGGAGGACGAGCCTTTACAATCTGTGGAACAATCCAATACATGGGTGAGAAATGTGTCTGTGGATGATTCCTGACAGAGCTGCATTCACTGGGACTCATTAATGCATTTCAATATATTACAACAAGAAGTGAATCATTTATGGCACAAATACACATCGCGTGCAGTGTGTGTGAACGTGCTCTGTCTGTCCTGCAGCCCCAGAGGTGCTGAGTGGTGGGCCCTATAACCACGCAGCTGATTGGTGGTCGCTGGGGATTCTGTTTTTCTCATTGGTTACTGGGAAGGTGAGCTCTTGTTGCCAGTAGGCACGGGATGTCTTGCATAATAATGTGACATTAAACACAATTAACACAAACAGTGACAAAGCTTGAATTTTGCTGTAAAAGTATTTGATGCATTTGATGTTTGTTTCATAATTGGACCCATATTTGAGACAGTACCGGACATATTAATTCAGTGACATCAATTTTAAGGATATTATTTTATTGTTGTTGTGTCCTCGTGTTATTTTTTTGCCTTGTAAAAGTGTCTTAAAATATCTTAAAATTGAAAAACAAAATGTCTTCTTCATGTTCCTCCGACTCTCCACAGTTCCCTATGCCTCCAGAACTAGACCACTGCAGTATGCTGAGGAAAGTGCGGGGTTTCCCCTATGAAATGCCCCTAAGCTTCAGCCCCCCATTTGCCTTGCTAATAACCGAGGTAATTTCAAAGTGTAATACTTGTACTACTTGCGCCAGGATCTATAGGTTTGTCTGGTTTGACAATAGTCTTCACCTGTTTGTCCATTCAGCTTTTGTGCAAGACTCCCGCCCGCCGTCTCAGGACCATCGATCGTTTCAAACGACAAACCTTCTTCCACGGAACAACCTTCGACCTCGCTCTGCTGCAGCGCCAGCCCATAGAGGTAACTGATGAATGTCTGGATGTGTACTCACTGTTGTTGTGCCCTTGAAAAACTTCAAGATCATGAGTCAGGTAGTTAAAGAAATGTTCAATGTGTTAAAAAAGTGAAGTGATTTGTCTCCTCATTGTCACTGTTCCAGGTGATTCTGGAGCTGAGAGAGAGGCCAGACCGAGCCGCCAAAGCTCGACGAGGCCTCACCTTGTCTCTGCAGCCTCTTAAAGGCTTCGACTATGACTCCCTGCTCAGCCCTCCAGCCACACCGGACAAACAGCTGGACGCCGACACAAAAACTCACACTGTTGCACCACTGCCCGGCCCGGCACGACCACTGCAGCTCACTCAGGAAAATGGCCCACACAGAGAAGTGTTTGTGTGATGGACTGTGAGTTTACAGGATGATAATTCACCACGCTGAAGGTAAAGGACAACAGCAGTGTACATCTGCGCACTTCTTACTCACCCTGACAAACTGGTGTGGTGCACCTTGTAAAATGTCTTATTCAGTAAAAGCCAAAAATAGCTGATTAAGATTTAAGTGGATCTTTAGTTTTAAAAAGAAAAGATTCAGTTAAGTAAAAATCAGCACATCCCCTAATCGGCAAAGTTATTATTTTTTGTGATGTACTGAACACTATTTTTTACTTGTTTGCCTTTCTGCAATGAGCACCTTTTCATGCCTACAGTGTTTGCTCAACAGTTGTGCATTAAAGATTGCACTATTGCCCATCTTCTTTCAGTTTTTACAGCTTTCTGGTAATGGCCGCCCTGTTAAAACATAATGTACAACTGCTCTCAAGTTCACTCCACAATGCACCACACATCTTTTCTTTCTTTTTTGTTTAAGCAAATGTAGGTAATTATAAAGAAATCCAACCAAAACCCTACAACGAGGCGATTGAGCTTCTTAGTTTTCATGCTGCATGATTATGGCTACATCCATACTATACATTTTTAATCTGAAAATGTTTCAACTCTGCTACACATACGCCTGGCGTTCATAGTCTGAAAACTCTTGGGCTCGGTTTAAGTCTGGATGGGCAGAAACGGTGACGGATATGTTTGGAAACGATGACGTAAACACAACCACTTGCTGATTTGGATCTTTCCGGTCACCATGTAGCCTTTGATGATCAGGTAGCTGTAAAATGACCCTCTTCACACCAGAGATTATAAGACAGAGCCAAAACTCTTGTCTGGACATAAATCATTTAGTTTGAAAACACCATTTTCAAACTAAAACAGTCGAATGGACTTGGCCTAAGAAAGCATTTTGGCAGAAGCAGACAGAAGAAACTCATCGCCTCATTCAGCAGACTGAAGCAAGGGTGATCTTTACTTTTAAACCTGTCCTCTATGTGTTATTCACTCTGCGATACAACCTTTTAATCAACTTGATGTTTTTCTACTGCCTAAACTCTGTCGCAGCAGAAATGTCTCACCTTCTCTTCTGTACTGTAAAACTCAAACAAAGCTTCACACCATCAGATCAACATGTGTATATGCCTTCATCGTCTACTTTATCATTTACAACATGACTCAGGGGAGCGCTTCCTGGTTTTCTCAAGTCAGCCCTGACTCCAAGATGGCTGATGCAGACCTGAGCTGGGACTGAATGAACAACTTAAACAATTGTTTACCTTCAATTAACATTTTGATAGATACAGGGCTTTTTCTATTGTCCATTATGAATCCTAGCCAATAATCACACCTTCATGCACTTACCTGATCATCAGATTATGTAATTGTTTTGTAAAGTATGCCCCGATGTGTACCCAGAATGCCTCACGGTTGTGATCCCAAGCTTGCTTTTAATGTCACAAAGATCCTTATCTATAAATTCCTCTTTACAAAGTTTATATGATTATTTTGGATGCTATGATTCTATGATGTTATATGTTATGTTACAATGTATTTTTGTAATTACCATGTAGCACAGATGGAATATTAAACTCTTAATATATAGTGATTTGCTGGTTTTGTCTGCATTTTTGTCTGCACTGAAAATAAAAATAACATAACATTTTAACATAGTCAGTGATATGTTGAAAATCATCATAGCTACACTTATAAATCCATTTGGAAAAGGAATCACACTTTATAAATCATTCATCATTAGGTTTGCATGCAAGTATGATTTAAACTATTAATGTCAGCTGAGATTGGCTCCATCCCCCTGCCACCCTCAAAGGATAAGCAGTATAGATATTGGATGGATGTATGAATGAATGTATGTCATCAAGGTCTAGAGATCAACCTTGAGACATATCTCAGCTCAGTAGTTAAACCTCAATGCAAAATTCAATATCGCCAAGTGGACTGATAACATAACATGAAACTTGGTAGGAGAATGTATGATGGATAGAGGGAAGAACATACAAAGTTTTGGTGTTGATCCGGATTGGGGGAATGCTCAAGGTTTTTTTTTAAACTTCTTTAGTATTGCCATTTTTGTTGATTTTTCTGAGAGTAGTTTATGGATCTTAATTTTTTTAAAATAGGCACATTCAGGAAAATGATATTAATGAGTGGGTACAAGGTCGTCCCAATAAAGATTCAGACATGGGCCTAGAAGTAGGTAACTGTTGCGACAGGAAATGAAACCATAAAACAGTCAGTATCTTAAACGGTACAGAAAACATTGGCATTGAAGCCAGGTTTATAAATATATGATAATAATAATAATAATAGTCATTGTTATATCACAGAGAAAGAAAAAGTGGATGGATGCTTCATCAACATGAAGAATACAAACTTCATTGGGTAAAAGCCACAATATGTTTCTGTTTATTTCTTCCAAACATGAGTAACATAAACTGAACATCATTGTTCTTTTATCATTTACGTTTTTACCATTTAACAGCGCAGATGCTGCAGATGTGTAGATGTGTCATTGAAAACTTGCAGAATCATGCTGCATGCACACGCCGAGGGTCGGCGACACGTCCCCTGCGCATGCGCATCGGCCGTTTTTGCGTCGCCGCGTCACGATGACGCAGTTACGTAAGCCCCCGCCCCTGGTCTCGAGGCTCTTGAAAAGGAGTCACGTTGCGCTGCAGCAGTGAAACAGGAGCTTGTCTCTCATCCGCCGAACAGCGCTCACCTGATCTCAGCACAGCCAGACCGCCATCAGCAGGTAACACACACTCACACACACAC